CACTGTACGCCTGCAACTAACACAACATTGTAAATCAACTATATGCATGCATGCTAAGTCACTTCAGTTGTGTCCGACTCTTTGTGACCCTATCTACCATAGCCCCCCGGGCTCCTCTATCCATGGGATTCTCCAGACAAGAATACTGGAGTGGAAAAAAAAAAAAAGAATACTGGAGTGGGTTGCCATGCCCTCCTCTGTAAATCAACTATACTCCAATACAAATTTTTTTAAAACCCTATGTACATAATTTTATAACACTTTATTGCTAAAAAATGCTAACCTTTATCTGAGGCTTCAGAGAATTGTAATCTTTTCACATAGTAACATCAAAGATCACTGATCACAGATCACTATAACAAATACAATAATGAAAAATTTAGAAATATTGTAAGAATTTCCAAGATGTGAGCAAATGCTGCTGGGAAAATGATGCTGATAGACTTGCTTGTCGCAGGGTTGCCACAAAACTTCAGTTTGTAAAAAGAACAATATCTGTGGAGTGCAATAAAGTGAAGCACAGTAGACTGAGGTATGCCTGTACTTTCCATTGATGTATCTTCAGGTTCACTGATTCTCTTCTCACAGGATATGCTGCACATTACAGTTTGCACAAATACAAATTTCTTCACAATCTTTAGCTTCCCTTTTAAGGTTAGGTGTGTGAATTTATGATTAACAGACCTTACTGGAAGATAATGCCATCGACATCACCATCTCTGGCCCTCCCCATCTCCAGGCCCTGATAGAACTTCGCTGATTTCAGGGAAAGCAAAAAGAAAACAAATTCAGGAAATGTACCATTTTGTGCTCTCTTACTGCAATGCCCTGGCTTGAATCAGAGAACTCAGAATATGAATCAGGTCTACTCCACCTACACCCCTTATACTTCTTATTGAACATGCCCACCCACAGACCAAGTAGCAGCAACATAGACAGTACTTTTGTGAAGTACACCAGTGGTAAGCTAGCTGGTGAGAGCCATTGCTAACTTTTCAGGAATTCTCAAGCTGGATTTTAAATATGGCCATTATTTCAAAATTATATATAAACTTATGCATGGATGCATGCTTAGTCACTCAGACATGTCCAACTCTTTGCAACCCCGTGGACTGTAGCCTCCCAGGCTCCTCTGTCCATGGAATTCTCCAGGCAAGAATAGTAGAGTGGGTTAGCCATATCCTTCTCCAGAGGATCTTGCTGACGCAGGGATCAAACTCTGGTCTCCTGCATTGCAGGCAGATTCTTTACTGTCTGAGCTACCAGGGAAGTCTATATATACTGTTGTCTATACTGCTGTTCAATAGCTCAACTGTGTCCGTCTCTTTGTGACCCCATGGACTGAAGCACGCCAGGTTTCCCTGTCCTTCACTACCTCCCAGAGCTTGCTCAAGCCCATGTCCATTAAGTAGATGATGCCATCCAGCCATCTCATCTTCTGTTGCCCCCTTCTCCTTCTGCCCTCAATCTTTCTCAGCAGCAGGGTCTTTGCCAGTGAGTCAACTCTTGGCATCAGGTGGCCAAAGTACTGGAGCTTCAGCTTCAGCATCAGTCCTTCCAATGAATATTCAGGGTTGATTTCCTTTAGGATTGATTGGTCTCCTTGCAGTCCAAGGGACTCTCAAGAGTCTTCTCCAGCACCACCATTAGAAAATATCAATTCCTCAGCACTCAGCCTTCTTTATGGTCCAACCTTCACATCCATACGTGACTACTGGAAAAACCATAGCTTTGACTATATGGACCTTGGTTGGCAAAGTGATGTCTCTGCTTTTTAATATGCTGCCTAGGTTTGTCATAACTTTCCTTCCAAGGAGCAAGCATCTTTTAATTTCATGGCTGCAGTCACCATTCGCAGTGATTTTATATATATATATATTTATCATGTCTGTTTTTAATACATATATTATTTATATATTATATTATTATTATATTATATATTATATTATTATATATATTATATTTTATTTATATTTATATTATATATAATTATATATTTATTTATACTTATATTATATATTTTTATATATTATATTATATATTTATATTTATTTAATATTTATGTATAATTATATATTATATATAATTATATATATTATCTATTTAATATATAGTAAACTATATTATATTATATAAATAATATCATATATTATTTAATATATATTATATTAAAAACAGGTGATAAAACACTACTCATTTTTTATTTTTATTCTTTATTTTTTTCACCATACCTTGCAGCATGTGAGATCTTAGTTCCCCAACTAGGGATTGAACCCACACTCCTTGCAGTAGAAGCATGGGGTCTTAACCACTGGACAACCAAGAAAGTCTCTCTGTAATGTTTTTAATGCCTATTCTATCTGTGATAGAATGTGTATATGTGATATGACATGTGGTATGACATGTGTATATGGAATTATGATTTTTGTTTTGCTTTCTAATTTTACAATGGTATGCTACTTAGCACTTCTCAAATCTTTATTTACTGATATTACATTTGTAGCTTGAAATTAGCCATGTTAGATGTATTTACACCATGAAAATTCATGTAAACTGCTGCTTTGTTTTGTTGATTGTCTCATCCAGGGGTCAGCAAACTCCTTCCGTGAAGATCCAAGAATATTTTAAGCTTTGCAACCACATGCAGTTTCTGTTGCATAGTTTTAATTATAAGCCTTTAAAATGTAAAAATTATGCTTAGATCTCATGCATGCATGCATCCTCAGTCATGTCCAACTCTTTGTGACCCCTTGGACTATAGCCTGCCAGGCTCCTCTGCCCATGGAATTTTTCCAGGCGAGAATACTGGAGTGGGATTCCACTTTCCTTCACCAGGGAATCTTCTTGATCCAGGGGTGGATCTCCTGCATTAGCAGGAAGATTCTTTACCACTGCACCACTTGTGAAGCCTGTTACTATACAAAAATAGGCCAAAGGTTGGATTTGGCCCAGTAGTGATAGTTTGCCAATCCCTGGACTAGATTTAAAGAAGCAATAAAATGTTAATAATGCAGATTAACCCAAAATAATGCAAATTAAACTCAAAACTGTCATGTCTGTAGCTGTTCCACTGTGAAAAATATAAGAAATTCACAACATATTCTTTCCAGTACTCAGAACCTATCATTCAGTTAATCAAAGAGGTTGCTCATGTCATGGCTGACTGAGTGCAGTTCTGAAGTGTGTCTTCATTATTTGCTTTGTCTTACTCATTAACATAAACAAAATGTAAAACAATATTTAGGTTGGAACTACACTCCTTGGTTAATGACATGGGTGACTTTTTTTGGAATTGAATGATAATCAAGCATTTATTCATAGTTTTGATTTCATGACTATTGTTGCCAATTATAGAAACTTCTAATGGAATATGGCATTTGTAAGAAATAGCAAGTTATGGGACTTCCCTAACAGTGCATTGTTAAGACTCAGTTCTCCCATTGCAGGGAATACAGGTTCAATCCCTGGTGAGGGAACTGGGATCCTTCACGACTCACCCTGTGGCCAAAAAATAAGTAAAAAGAAAAAGAAATAGCAAGTCATGCTGAAATTACAGGTATACGGGATTTCCAAAAAAGGAGCCATGTTTAATTATGATTTGTAAGTCACATACTGTACAGATTTTTATCAGTAAACTTTATAATAAAATTACAAATGTATATATGCTTACTTTTTTCCCACACAGCCAACCATTAAGCATTTCTATCACATCATTGTGTCTCAGTGCCTCATGCCGGGCCAGTTATCACTCCTGGGTAAGAGAATCTAGACAGGTACACAGAGTTCGAGTCAGTTAGATGAAGGTGGGTGACTGAACTGAAATTTCTGGTTCTCAGCCAGTTGAGAGAGAGAAGAGAAGAGAAGAGAGAGAGACATTGAGAAAGAAAAGACTGAAGGTGACAGAAACAAAGGCTCCCTGACTCCCGTCTGCTGCTGCTGCTAAGTCGCTTCAGTCGTGTCTGACTCTGTGAGACCCCATAGATGGCAGCCCACCAGGCTCCCCGTCCCTGGGATTCTCCAGGCGAGAACACTGGAGTGGGTTGTCATTTCCTGTTCCATTGCATAAAAGTGAAATGTGAAAGTGAAGTCGCTCAGTCGTGTCCGACTCTTCGCGACTCCATGGACTGTAGCCTACCAGGCTTCTCCGTCCATGGGATTTTCCAGGCAAGAGCTCTAGATTTCCTGTCCCAGATGCCCATGAATTTATCTACTTCATCCTTACCAGAAACCTCTCTTTAAGACAGATGAAATTGAATTCCTGCTTCTTCACAACCAAAAGCTCTGCAACCAAGACAGTGAACCACATAAATCTGGACTATATGAGTCCTCTTATCCTGGTCCCTGAGTTTCCCAAATCTGATGACTATTAATCACAGGGAATCTACAGACAATGGTGATAAAGTATTACTTAATGAAAAGGGGGGGGGCGGGAGGATGTATCACTAATAAAATCAGTCAAATAAGCAATATGGGGCTTAAAAAAAAATAAAAGAAAGTGGCACACACAGTGAGGTGAATTCTGGGAAACCCAAAGCAACTCACATAGCAATTCAGGGGTAAGGAGTGAGAGGCTGTGTTCAGGCTGTGAAACCACTTGGAAATGCCCAGCTTAATTCATATTTAATGTTCTTTTAAAAAAATATTTATTTATTTGGCTATGCTGGGTCTTAGTTGTGGCATGCAAAATTTTTTAGTTGTGGCATGTGGAATCTTTAGTTGCAGGATATAGAATCTACTTCCCTGACCAGGGATCAAATCCAGGCCCCCTGCATTGGGAGCACAGAGTCTTAGCCATTGGACCACCAGGGAAGTCCCCATATTTAACATTCTTATTATGGAGTCAAAAACTTCTACATTTGATAGACTTTTTTTTGTCTATTTATTTTTTTTCTAAGCAAATCCGAGGTTATAAAGAACAGCTTTGCCCCCTGGCATAATGTAAACTTTATGAGAACAAACAACTGAAGTTCATTTGACTCTTGTAATGGCTGGTGTTATACTTAGAAGACCCCTGTGTAGTCTGTCTTCTTCCTGATGGAGAAGGGGCTCCAAACCAGGATCTGAATTGCTGCGATGCCCAATGGGACCAGGCAAATCAAATTAAACATGGCGTCATGAAGAGCTAAGATTGTACTGAGAGGGAAAAAAATATTGAAACACAGTTATTTTCTAAAGTGGCTTCTTTTCTTATTAACTCAAAGCTATACAACAAGAGGTTTCAGAAAAGTTTTGATATCTACTGAGCCCATTTAAAAAGTAAATGAAATTTTATTAAATAATTTTGATTCTTTCAAATAACTAAATAAGTAAATAATCCCTACCTCCCAGTTGGTCATACCAGGGGAGGCTGATACGTACTCCTTTGATCACAATGCCTGGGGAGAAGTGCTGTGGCCACTGTGAAGGACCCCGCAGCGGGCGCGGGAGGACAGAGGTGGAGGTGGGTACAATGCATACATATACTTACTCTACATACTCTTAACACTTTAGTCTTGAAATCACCATCCAGGGAGTTTCAAACAAAGAGGCAGGAGCTGGGCATTCATTTTTATTACTAAACTGACTTCCATTCTATACAATTTGAGATTATGAGAGAAAACCAGGCTTAATGATAATATTAAGAAATGACAGAACCTTTTCCGACAAGAACTTCATTAACCCCAAGATGCCTATGGTTCTCCATTATATTTAGTAGATCATATTTTTTTTTTCATTTAAATCATACACAGTAAAGAGGTCTCCTAGTTGTTTGGGGGCTGATTATCTGGTGCAGCTTCTCTTTGGTTACTTGGGCTATCTAAAAACAGCACCTCGTTAATTCAGCCAATTGAGATAAGAGGAAAGGTCAAACTATATGATACATGAAAAGGAGCTGTTTTGTTACATCTTCATACCAGAATCAGTTGCTATTACCAGAACGTATGTCTCATTCACTCATCTAAAAAATAGGTATTGTGTCATTATTAATGTGCTAGGCACTGGGTTGGACTGGTTATCCAGTGGTGGCAAAACTGACAGAGCTCCTGCTTCATGGAGCTCATCTCCCAGTTCTGGAGGTAGACCTTAATCAAGTCATCATAAATAAGATTGACTTACCCATGATTACATATGAAGAAAGAATGCTGAGATGGAAAAAAGCAATGCTTTAGATGGGAGCTCATAGCCAGAGTGTTTGCAGATAGAGTCTGGAGAAGTTTCCCCCAGGGAAGTGGGATTTGAGCTGACCTGAAGGATAAGTAGATATTAACTAGAAGACCTCTGACTAGAATCATGGAGAAATATCCAAGCATTGCTACCTCCTCCTCTAAAGGCCACAGGCAGGAAAGTCTTGTGTGCTCTGGACTGGATTGCGTTTGCTTCCAATTACTGCTTCACAAAACCACTCTTCACCTTGAGTCCTGCCCAATCCAAAAAATTGATGACCATGACTTTCCCATTCTTTGCTCCGCTGATGTTACTTTCTGGTCTCTGAGACAATCACAAAGGCATGGGCCATCAGCTGGACTTGCCAACACATGCTGACTGTAGCCTCTAGAAGTAACAGAGGATCCAAGAATGCTGTCAGGATGCAGTTACATTTCTGCTCCACCCAAACTATCGATGGAAAACTTCATTCCTAGGTGCACATGGTGTTTTGTCTTCCTAGCATTTGTTCCTTTAAGAAAAATCTTCTGCCCTCTTCCACAGTAAGCCTGTTTCAGTCCTGAAGACTCAGTGGACGTCGACTACCCTGCTCCCACCCCAATGTCAGGCATACACCAAGACGTGGTCAGAGTTGGGCTATAGCTACTGTCTCAGGAATGGACATGTGACTCATGCAAAGCCTTTCAGGGTCCAGCTCGGAGCTTTTGCCGTGCTACTAGGACAAGTATTTCCTCTAGGATCTGAGTCTGTAGGCCCATGTAAACCTGGGGTTATCTTGTTGCCACGTGGTAAAAAGTTTGCACTCAACACAGAGGGAAGGTCACGGACAAACAGATTCCTAACACCATTTGAGTCCTACCTACACCTCTGTCTGACTTTTCAGTTACATGAGCTGCGAAGTTCCTTTCTCATTTGAGCTTACTTCCATTGAGTTTCTGTCACTTGCAGCTAAATTGGCCTAAAAATTGTATCTTTACCATTGGCACTTATGTCCAAATTTACCATAATTTGGCCTCTGAGCACTATAGGGATGGGATTCAGTGATTTCTAATTGGCCTTTACTAAGAAAGACACAGGAGGTTTGAAAGAGCTGATCACAGATTTTGAGGATGAGAAGACAAGGTCACGACTACACTTTTGAACTTGACATTGTAGGTATGTAGACACATGATGGTTCTCTCCCCACCTTTGAGTACTCACTGACTGGAACCACGAGACAGACCAGATCAGGGGACTGGGTCAGCAATGGGTGCAAGAGGCCAACAGGTAAGGGAAAATCAAGTTCCACTTTGTTGGTGGTGGTGTTGTGCAGTAACGAAGTCGTGTCCTCCTCTTTTCAACTCCGTGGACTATAGCCAGCCAGGTTCCTCTAGCCGTAAGATTTCCCAAGCATGAATACTGAAGTGGGTTGCCATTTGCTTCACCAAGGGAATCTTCCAGAACCAGGAATTGAACCCATCTCTGCCTTAGCAGGCAGATTCTTTACCACTGAAGCCACCGGGAAGACACCCCCCCTCCAAGTTCCACTCTGTCACAGCCTAAATCACACACTTCTTAAACACATAGAAAAGGAAAGGAAGTGGCCTAATCAAGATCTTTAAAGGACAAAAACACCACAAAGCCATGACCATGAACTGCTAGTCAAGGAGTTATACAGTATGTGCTCAAAGCCCAGTGTTTCATGAAAAGACTGGTTTCTGGTTGGCTGAGGCACCTGTGTGCTTTTTATCTGAGGAGCCCATTGTCCTGCATTTTCTAGTTACAGCAGATTCCAGTTTCAGAAATATCAAGAAACTGGATTCCGGCTGATACGGGTTCTCTCTGGGAGATTTCTGATCTCAAAGACAGAATTGTGTTTTTCTCTTTTTTCCAGGGTGAGAGGAGGCATAGAGAACATCTGTGATAATCTGCAGGCGCAAAGTCTCCAGTGAGCATGCTGACATTACAGAGAGAGAGCTTAGGCTGGAAGTTCAAGGGAAGGCAGCAGAATGAACACTTAAATGACTAAGGCAGTTTGATAAATACCATGTTGTGGTCTAACCCCCAATGCTTTCATGGGTGACACCATTATTACTGAAGATGCAACCATTTTCATGTCCATATTACTTCACTGAATCACTTGATGCTCTTCAAAAATTTCCTTGATATTCCTGCTCTTTTCTTAAGATTTCCTTTTTCTTTTAAGATGTTATTCTAATCTGGAAGAGATGCCCATGATTTAGAGAATTTCTTTTCCTCTTTCACATTGCATCCCCTCTACTGGGATATGGATGAACTTAGAGAATAGCAAGGAGAGATAAGAAGGGCTTCTTATGCCAATGCAAAGAAATAGAGGGAAACAATAAAATGGGGAGAAAAAGATCTCTTCAAGAAAATTGGAGATACCAAGGAAATATTTCATGCAAGGATGAGCACCACAAAGGATGGAAACAGTAAGGACCTAACAGACGAGGAAGAGATTAAGAAGAGGTGGCAAGAATACACAGAACTATACAAAAAAGGTTTTAATGACCTGGATAACCACAAAGGTGTGGTCATTCATCTAGAGTCCAGATAGCCTCGAATGTGAAGTCAAGTGGGTCTTTAGGAAGCATAACCACGAACAAAGCCGGTGGACATTATGGAATTCTAGCTGAACTATTTCAAATCCTAAATGATGATGCTGTTAAAACTGCTGACCTCAATATGCCAGCAAACTTGGAAAACTCAGCAGTGGCCACAGGACTGGAAAAGATCCGTTTTCATTCCAACCCCAAGGAAGGACAATGCCAAAGGATGTTCAAACTACCATACAACTGGGTTCATTTCACATGCTAGCAAGGTAATGCTCAGAATCCTTCAAGCTAGGCTTCAACAGTATGTGAGCCAAGAACTTCAGATGTTCAAGCTGGATTTAGAAAAGGCAGAGGAACCAGAGATCAAATTGCCAAGAGAAAGCAAGGGAATTCCAGAAAAATATCTACTCTTGCTTCACTGACTATGCTAAAGCCTTTGACTGTGTGTATCAGAACAAACTGTGGAAAATTCTTAAAGAGATGAGAATATCAGACCACCTTACCTGTCTCCTGAGAAACCTGTATGCAGGACAAGAAACAACCAGATTTGGAACAATGGACTGGTCCAAAATTGGGAAAGGAGCACGTCAAGACTATATTGTCACCCTGCTTATTTAACATATATGCAGAGTTTATCATTCGAAATACCAGCCTGGATGAATCACAAGCCAGAATCAAGGTTGCTGGGAGAAATATCAACAACCTCAGATATGCAGATGATAGCACTTTAATGGCAGAAAGTGAGGAGGAAAGAGCCTCTTGATGAAAGTGAAAGAGGAGAAGGGAAAAGCTGGCTTAAAACTCAGCATTCAGAAAACTAAGACCATGACATCTGGTCCCATCACTTCATGGCAAATAGAAGGGGAAAAAGTTGAAACAGAGACAAATTTTATTTTCCTGGACTCCAAAGAAGGCTGACGGCGACTGCAGACAGTGACTGCAGCCATGAAATTAAAAGACACTTGCTCCTTGGAAGGAAAGCTATGACAAACCTGAAAGTGAAAATTAGTTGCACAGTCATGTCTGACTCTTTGCCACCCCATGGACTGTAGCCCACCAGGCTCCTCTCTGTCCATGGAATTCTCCAGGCAAGAATACTGGAGTGGGTTGCCATTTCCTTCTCCAGAGGATCTTCCTGACCCAGGGATTGAACCCGGGTCTCCTGTATTGAAGGCAGATTCTTTACCAACTGAGCTAATAAGGAAACCTAGGCAGTATATTAAAAACAGAGACATCACTTTTCCAACAGCAGTCTGTATAGTCAAAGCGATGGCTTTTCTAGTAGTCATGTAGGGATGTGAGAGTTGGACTATAAAGAAGGCTGAGTGCCGAAGAAGTGATGCTTTCAAATTGTAGTGCTGGAGAAGACTCTTGAGAAAGAGATCAAACCAGTAAATCTTAAAGGAAATCAACCCTGAATATTCATTAGAAGGA